TTTGTTTATATTTTATATCAACTTATAGTCAATTGTTCTGAAATATAAATGAATCAAAAAAGACATTTGGTTCAATATAAGTCAACACTTTTTATATTATTTTTATATTATTTTTATATTATTTTATTTTTATATATTTATATATTTTATTATTATATTATATTATATTATATATATCATCATATTATCTATATATTTTATATTTATCATATTTTATTAGTTTGATATTCTTATTTATATTTTATTTTATATATTAATATATTTTTATTTATATATAATTTATTATATATGAATACATTTCTTTATCTTATTTTCATTTTGATTATATTTTTATATTTTATATCTTCTTTCTATTTATATTTATTATTATTTTATTTATATTATATTGATTTTATTTATCATTTCTTTTATATATTTTATTTATTATTATATCATTTCTTTTCTCTCATTATTTCTTTATCATTTATTATTATTTATTTAATTTTTATATCTTCTATCTATATCATATGAAATTATTATTTATTATTTATTACATATTATATACTAATCAAATAACATCAATAACTGACTATATAATAAACATTGATAATAAATTATATACATATAAATAAAAATCATAAAAATAAAAATAAATAAAATAATTTACATCAATAAAACAATGTTAAATAATTTGCATCAATAAATTAAACACTTTTTTATTTCATATTTCTAATTTCTATAATAAAAAAATGCATCATTTATTTCATCATTCTTTTCATCATTTATTATCTCATTTTGAATTATTCTTTTTTGTCTTCTTTCATTTTATATTCTCAACATTCTACTTTTATTCTTTTCATCTTCTTCTACTTCCTAATTTCACTTTTTCTTTTATATCATTCTTTCTCTTCATTTGTCTTCATTTTTTTCTCTTATTTCCTTTTTTTCTTAACCTATACAAACCAAACATATCAAGATATATTACAGTATTTTTACATCAATTGATATACATTTAAAAACAAAGAGAATAGAGATAAAAGAAATAAAAATTATTAAAAAGAAGTAAAACTTATGAAAGAAATATTACAATTTGAAACAGAATAAATAATGAGAAAAAAAAAAATAATAAAATATACTTATTAAAGAATATAAATTAAATTGAAAAAACTGTTGTTTAATTCAAAACCATGTAAATGAGTTTAATGTATCAATTAAACTCATTGAGTGTGATTGACTGAATTATTTATTTCTTTATATTCTCCTTTTCTATTATAATATTTTCTTATTTTCACTTTAATTTCATTCATTATTATTGTTCTATGATTCTTATCGGTGTTATATATATATATTACTATTATATTCACTTATTTCTTTCTTGATTATTTTTATTTATTATTTCTTTTTAATCATTTTTCATTGTTATTTTTAAATGCATAATCATTATCACGTATTTCTATTACATCTTTTATTGATGTGTTGGTAGTTTTTGTTTTATTTGATTTTATTTACAAGAATGAGTTTATCGTAATGAAATAGTGATAATGTTTTATTCTTTACAGAGAAAAACATTAAATAAAAATAAAATCTTGAATGAGAAACAAATGTGGATTTAAAATATTTTGAAGAGTCAAAAAGAAATGAAGTATTAAATGAACTAAAAATGAATAAATATTAATTTTAGTAAAAAGCCACAATGCTAAGAAGAATTATTGCAGATGATAAATACATGATTACAGTTGATGGCAAAGATTTGGACTTAACTTATATATTACCTAACCTTATTGCAATGGGAATACCTGCAACAGGGATCTTTCAACAATGGAGAAATTCAAAAGAGGAAATAGCAAAATATTTAAACAATAATTATTTTAATAACTATATGATATGGAACTTAACTGAAAAGTCATATCCGTCATTAGAATTTAAAAACAGAGTACAACATGTTGGATTTCTTGATCACCATCCTCCTCGCTTTAATCATTTACTAAAAATTGTTGGAGATGTTGTTGATTACATCCTGGAGTGCCCAAAACACATCGCATGTATTCATTGTAAAGCAGGAAGAGGTAGAACTGGCTTAATATGTTCTTGTGTCTTGCTTTCACTTGGGAAATGTATTGATGCTAAAAAGGCACTAGAATTATTTGCTCAAAAACGATCTAAAATTATGAAAGGAGCAACATCACCACCACAGATTAGATATTGTTATTACTTCTATTATTATCTATCAGTTTTTCCGAGAGAAGTTCCGTTTAAACCTATTCCTAGTTATTCAATAAATCTTTGGTCAGTTTTAATTACTGGATTCAAACCAACAATTACACTAAAAGATTCTACTGACTGTGCACATCCTGTGTTATATTTCAATCCATTATCGCATGCAGAAGCTCATCCTCAATTGGTTAAATGTTCACAGTCATGGCAACAAACAAGTGATGGGTGTTTTATTATTTCATTCACTGAACAACAAATTATAAATGACACGGTTATTTCATTAACTGTAGAAACAAAAGAAAAAAGTATAATTATTGGTAAAGTTATTCTCAACGCTTTCTTTATCGATACTCACTCCCAATACACATTGAAACTTGATCAAGTTCAAGACCCAACTGAAGGAGTCAACCGAAATTCTCTTGGACTTCCATCTCATTTTTCTATGACATTTCGTTTCAGAGAATCAAAAAGAGAAGAAGATTCAATAGAAGAGTTGCATGAAAAAATTATTACAATTACCAAACAATTTCCTCTAGACGAAATGCATAGAGTATTACCACCTCCTATACCATTTAAACCAGAATTTGGTAACAAAAAGGCGTTAATTAATAGTACTCCTAGAGGGTCACGAAAGAAACAGTATTCATCAGACATTCATGAGATTGAAGGAGAAAGGAGTGAGTTATTTGTTGGGTCAATTTCTCCAATAGTATTAAGTTATTCAACAGAGTATAGAAAAGCAACTATAAAAAAAGGGAGTGCAATAAAAAAGAAAGGTGATGTAACTAATTCAATGTAACTTATTGTTTAAAGAAACAAGTCTAAATTGTTGCACTTTCACATTCAGCAAGTAATCCTTCTCCTTGGTCTCTAAAATATTCTAAAGTTGTAAGGAATAAATTGAGTTTTTTTTGTGTTTGTTCAAGGGTTTTCCTATGAGAAAAAAATCTATCACTTCTACCAAAATCTTCACGTAAGAGATGTTGAGTCATTGATTCATTAAGAATAATTTGAATTTTTTCAAAGTTTTGAGTAATTTTTGTGATTTCAGTTTGAACTTTAAGACTAGAAACCATTGGATATTTATTTTCCTCTGAATCGTCTTGTTTGATTGTTCTAATCATTTTACGATATGACTTAACAATTTCGAAAAAACAATTCTTACCTTTTTCTAAAAGTTCACGTTCCTGAGTTTTTTCAAGAACACCTTCTTTTTCAATTTCCATAAGTAAATACATTTATTAGTTGAATTAATATCTTTTTCTTTAAAAAAGAAAAGAATATAAAAAAATAATAAAAAAATTGATTGAGTGATACAACCTTATTTTTACTGATTAGCAATAGAAAGAATCCATCTATCAAGGAATGGAATACCAATAAAATCACCAGATTTTGATTTGATAAAAGCAATCACAGCAAGTACTACAATAACTGCTATTGTAATAACAAACATTATCCAGAAACAAATAACAAAGAATAACCCAGCCCAATAGAAACAAAGACAGAAGAGTGCAACCATAAATACAATTCCATTGATAATAAATGATTGAAGGGCAACAGCACGTACATAAACGTTTTGCTTTTCAAGGAAGAAAATGATAATTCCACCAACCCAACCAAAAACAGTAGCAAGAAGAGAAAGAACTGGAACACTACATGAGAGTGTAGTTGATTGATTGTCAGTAGTTTGAGTATTTTGAGAATAATCGTTAAAAGGATCTGACATCAGTAATTTTATGAGTACATTTATTAGTTCTATTAAATAGTTCAATGAAAAATTCGATGAGATATTCAGAGTTAATAAACCGAAAGGTATATTAAGATATTTTTAAATAAAAAATCGGGATATTAATATAATTTTTCAATATTATTTTTAAGATAAATGAATTTGTCATTATAGATAAAATTGTTTTCAAATGTCAGATAAGTACTTTAGAGTTTAAACAGAATGTGTTGATGGTTCTCATTAATTAAAATAAAAAGACATTAAAAATCTATTCAGTTCTTTTAGTTACCTTGAGATACAAACTATTAATTTTCTAATTAAAGAAAATCAATCACGGTAATAATCATTAATCACTTTTCTTTTTATTTTTTTTCATATTTTTATTTAATGATTATTCATTTAAAAGAAACGATTTTTAGTCCAAGGAATCCAAAAGGAATTCAATATTTTTTAATATAAAATAATAGAACTTTAATCTTAAAAATAATTAATTCATTTAATCTCATGTCGGATCCTTTCAATGATTATTCTGGAAATAATGCTGAAGTAAGTTATGAAACTACAAGTCTTAGTTGTAGTGTTCCAGTTCTTTCTCTTCTTGCTACTGTTTTTGGTTGGGTTGGTGGAATTATCATTTTCTTCCTTGAAAAGCAAAACGTTTATGTACGTGCTGTTGCCCTTCAATCATTTATTATCAATTTGGCGTTCTTTGTTATTGCCTTATTCTTCCTTATTTTCTATTGGGCTGGGTTATTCTTTGTTATTTGTTTCTGGATAATGTTTGTTGTTGACATCATCGTTCTCGTTGGACTCGCAGTAATTGCTTTTATCAAATCAAAATCTGGTGTTTTCTTTGGTATTCCACCACTCGGAGGATGGATTCTTTCTATTGCCAACCATTAAATTATTTACTAAAATAAAGTTCTATTTACTGATTGAATTTCGTTATTGATTTGATGGTTAGTTATTTGTTTTTTGTTTTATATAACCTAAGAATAACTAAAAAGAAATTATTTTTTAGTTATATTTATAAATATTTAAACCCCTAATTATTTTCTTAAGAAGTTTTGATACTTTTTCTTATTAAAAAGAAGTAATTAATAAATCGGCATGTATTGATACATAACTTATTTAATAATATCTTATGTACTAAGCATGCTAAATAAATTGTTGTAACTAATCAAAATGTTTTAAGAAACACTTTGAATAAAACCATCAAATATTTTTTTTAACTTCCTATCGTGAATAAATTAATAATGTTCTAACTCAAAAATGAATTACACAAAAAGTGCCTTTACAAAAATTAAGTGTTCATCATTAAAACCAACAAGAAAAAAAAATAGCATTATTTTTATCTTTATGATTGTTTGGTGCAGATAATTTAAATAAAAATAATTAAAATAAATAATATTATTATTTTAAACAAATTTATTGGATTTCATGATACGTTTATTTATAATTTGAGTTTTTTTATTGATTCAATGATTGAATTTGTTGATGTATTTTTATGATAATTTGTGTTTTTTAAATTTTGTTTTTTTATTTAAAAAATAAAACGTTTTTAACCCTTTTATTAAATTTTTTTTTATTTCAATGAAATTTTTCCAGAACATCTATCGTTGGGATAATGATACTAAGATAAGTATCTCTATTGTTCTTATTGGTTTTATAATGACTTTATTTATTTCATTTGTTGATTTATTTACTCTATACCCACAATTTAATTTTTCTTGGATTTATCTTTTTTACATAGTTCTTTGGTTTCTGTCATTTGTTTGCTATTACAAGTGTGTGACAACAAGTACTGAAGTCCCAGAAAATATTAAAATGGACATTTCAACATATCCTGCATGTTCCAAATGTGGGTTAGGTAAACCAGAACGAGCACACCATTGTTCAAAATGTAATTCTTGTATATTAGAAATGGACCATCATTGTAATTACATAGGAAACTGTGTTGGATTTGCTAATAAGAAATATTTTTTATTACTTCTCTTTTATGTCACATTAATGATACTTTTTATTCTCTTAGTCAATACTCCATTAGCAATTTATGCTTTCTTTTATCCATTGAGAAATCCATTTTATCATTGTGTATTTCGATTATTTGATTTGATTCATTGTATTCTTAGTGTTTATGGATTTACCCTCATAGCACCTACAGCTCATGTAGTGGTAAAAGGCTTGTTTTGCAATTATACAACTATTGAATTTATCGTTTGTTTCTGTTTAATTCTTTCCACTTTCTTAAGTCTCAAGACCCAATCTTATCATTTTTATAGGTAAAAGGAGATATGGGGTGGGTAAGTTCTTCTGAGTCAAGAAAGAAAAATAAATACGACCTTGGTACATTGAGAAATATTCAACAAATCTTTGGAATTGGACTTCTTCAGGCGTTATTACCAATTCCATCAAATACCACTTGTAATGGGATTAATTTCGAAACTAATGGAGAATATAATGAGGCATTAGAAAACCAGTATAATGAGTATTATGAAGATTATTAGAATAGTTGTTAGCAAGAGTTTAATTAATTTTTAAGTTAATTAAAAAAGAACTAAAACTTTTTTTCAATAAACACAAATGAATCATAGAAGAATTAAGGTAGCAGGTATTGGTGAAGTTGTTTGGGACTGTTTCGGAGATATTAAAAAACAAGGAGGAGCACCATGCAATTTTGCTATGCACATGGCACAACTTGGTTTTGAATCATATGCTTTTATTGCTGTTGGAAATGATGAATTAGGTAAACGTTCATTAGAAATAATTCATTCATTTGGGGCCCAGACCATTGATCCAATTGTAGGTTATGAAACAAGCACTGTTATTATCACTCTTCACAATGGGATTCCATCTTATAACGTTAAACTAAATGTTGCCTGGGACCATTTAAAATTGACAGACCCTGTCATTGAAAAAGCAAAAGAATTAGATGCAGTTTGTTTTGGAACTATTGCACAAAGAAGTGAAGAAACAAGACAATCCATTATTCAATTTTTAAAATTAATGAAACCAAATTCGTTCAAAGTCTTTGATGTTAATTTAAGACAACATTTTTATAATGATAATATAATTCAAGAAAGTTTATCATTATCAAATATTGTTAAAATGAGTGATGAAGAGGTTCAAGAAGTAGGTAAAGCTTGTGGATTTCAGGGAAGTGATTTGGAAATATTAAAACAAATTCATCACCAGTACCATTTGAAATACTCATTACTCACACTAGGTGAAAAAGGAAGTTATGTTTATGACGGTGCTAATGAAATATTTTGTGAGTCAACAAAAGTAAATGTTGTAAATACTGTTGGTGCTGGAGATTCCTTCACTGCTATTTTTGTTGGTTCAATTCTTAAAGGGAAAGATATTGAACAAGCACAGAAATTAGCAAGTAAAGTTGCTAGTTATGTATGTACCCAAGATAGTGCAATGCCTAAACTCCCACAAGAACTCTTATCTGAATTAAAATAATCAAAAAAAATTATCTTTTTTAATTTTATTCTTCTCAAGTCCTAATGAAAGAATGATTAAATTAATCTTGGTGTTCCCCTGATTTTTCTTCAGAATCAATTTCTTCGTTTTCTAAATCTTTGGCAGTCATTACAATGGCCTTTTTAACTTCTTGGGCTTTGGCTTTTATTTCAGCCTTTTTAGCTTCTTTTTTAGCTTTCTTCTCTTCTTTTTTTGATTTTTTTTGAGCTTTTTTAGCTTCTTTTTTAGCTTTTTTTTCACATTTACCACATTCTCCACAATTTTCACATTTGACTGGTTTTTTTTCCTCTTCATCTTTCTTTTCCTCTTTGACTATTTTTTCAATCTTTTTATCTGCTTTCTTATCACTTTTGACCTTCTTTTTTTCTAACTTCTCTTTCTTTTTATCTGCCTTTTCAACTACTCCAATAATTTTTTCTTCTCCTTTTGCTTGTTTTTTAGCTTCTTTTTTAGCTTTCTTAGCCTCTTTTTTTTCTTGTTTTTGTTGTTTCTTTGGTTTCTTTTCAACTTCTTCTTTCTTTTCTTCAGTAACTTCAATCTTCTCTTTTTCCTCAGTCATGTAATTTTGGATGTTTTTTTAGTTTGAAACTCTTCTATTTATTGTGAAATTCTATTTTGTGTTTTATCACTTTGGGATAGTAAAAGAGCCATTTCCTTGTTATTTCAGATTAATGTTGGAAAAGGGTTTCTAATTAAAATTATAAGCAAAAACTCTTATTTTTTCCTGGAAGATAGGATAAATATTATTTAAAATAATAAATTAAAAGAAATATTAATTTTAATCAAAAAAGTTTAGTTGTTAATTAAAAATGCCTAAGATAATACATTTCTGTTTTATTAATTTTCCAAAATATTTAAATTTATCTTAACAACAAATTATTAAACAATAAAGATGAAAATGATGTTATTTAATATATAAAAATTTCAAAAAGGGTCTTTATTTTATTATTACATCTTCTTATATTCATATTTCAATAATAATTCGATTTAAATATTATTTATAATTAAATAAATTCATTTTTTATAGCTATAATTAAATATTTTTTAAAATATTAACAAATAAAACATTTTATTAATATTTTTAATTATTTAAATTTACAAATTTAAAATTAGAAGAACAAGTAGAGAATTGATTGAAAAAGAAAAAAAGGAAATACTATTTATTTTTGTTTTACTTAAAAATAAAAAAGATGTTATTAAGATTTTGTTAAAGAAAACAAAATAATAAATAACACAAATAAAAACAATAAAAATAAAAAGTTGAATAATAAAATAAAAGAATATTAAAGAGAATAATTAATGAATTAAATTTAATTATGATATCTTGAAATTAACTCATCAATGAATTGTGCAGTTTCTATTCTTTGTTGTTTTAATTGTTCTGGATCAGTATCTTTCTCAGCATAAAGATCAGCACAATGAGCAGTACCTTTGATATGAGAAGCATAACAATTAATATCTGAAGGAAGGGTTTCGTGTTTAGCCAATGGACTCCATGGATCAGTTGAACCAGAAGTATAAGCTACATTAGTAGCTTTTGGTTGATAACCACCATACATTAAATTGGTATGATGAACTCTTCTATCTAAACGTTGTTTGTCTACATTGAAAATATCTTTACAGAGAAGATAATAAAATTCATTATTAAGTCTCTTTGAAAATGGAAGAGATTCATTAACTGGTTGGAAATAACTGTATTCACTACAAATTTGCCATGCCCAACTTCTTGTTGATGCAAGTCTATTTCCTTCTTCATCTGTTTTAGTATTTGCCATATCTGTAAGCATATCAGCATAACTTGATGGTGCACATTTAAATCCAAATTCATTAAATGCATGATTCATTAATTCAACCATATTCTCATAAGCTGTTTTTCCTTCAGTAGTTAATATACTACAAACACCTTCAATAGTTAATGAATAACTTCCATTATATTGTGGATAATTTATCATTGTTGCTTGGATTTGTTGAATAAGAATAGTAAGGTCGTCTTCTCCATTAATATCGGTACATGCATTAAAATCACTCTTAAGTTGGGCTTTACCAGAATCTGTTTTGAAAAGTTCTTCAATACTTTCAGTAGCTTCTTTCCAAGCGTTACCACATTTTTCACCCATATCATTGTAAATAACATCTAAAAATTCATAAAAAGTAGATGTAGCATAAACTGGTGCAGATGAAGCCACAGCTGCATAAACTACATTTGGATATTTTTGTCTAATCCAAGCAGCAAGGTTTCCACTATATGAACCACCAAAGACTATAACAGGACCAGTGACTTGATATTCCTTTTTGATTTGATTAATAATCATAATATAATCTTCTAAAGCTTGAGCTGCACTAAGGTATCCAAGATTTTCTTGTGACAACCCTCCTTCTGGAACAGACTTTCCATAAAACCTATGTTCAATTGCAAGCATTAATGAATTATATTTCTCTGCATACTTATTAATAACAAATCTTCCACCAACAGCAGCTGCTTTTTGTGGTCCTTCTCCTCCAAGATCAACCAAAAGCGGTGCTTCTTTACTATATATAGTGTCATTAATAAAATATCGAATATTTATTGTCTTCTTATTAGTTAAATCAAAGTGATCAATTGGTTGTGTTGAAACATGTTCTATAACATCACTTTTATCTGTTTCTCTTCCAAAACGAATGTTTTGGAAACGGAATCCAAGAGATGTTGTGAGTAATAAGAAAAGAAACATTACTTAAAGATTTTCAAGATTCCGAAATTCTTTTTTTTTCTACTATTATTGAAACTATAACTTTCATTTTTTTTTACTATTAAATATTCCTTTTTTTTTAATCAGACTCAGAATAGAAAATTTCTACGATAAAGGAGTTTTCTGACAACAATACAGTTTATTTTGCCGTTGGCTTGTATCATTAAAAACAAAATTTAAATTAAAAAAGAAGGGGAATAAACTCGAAATAGAAAGGTAAAAATAGAATACTTATAAAAAGAAAAAGGACTAAGATTTGTTATTATGATTACTAAGAGTTGTGGACATCTTAGTTATGGGAAAGGGTCTATGAGAAGAGTTGGGGTGATTGAAGAAATGAAGAGGTATAAAGAAAAAATTCAAGAAAAATTAACAACAAGGACAGATGATGTAGAAACACTTAAAGTAATAAGAGAGATGATAAATGTTCAAATGATGATTCAGCAAATGAGAAAGAGAATTGAATTGACAAAAGTGTTTCAAAAAGATAAAAAAGATTTAATGAAAATATCAAAAGTTCAGCAAGATATGCATATAAGAGAAATGGAGAAAGCAATAGAAAAAGGAAAAGAAAGATATGGAAAAAGAACAAGAAGTATTGATGTAATGGAAACATTTTTTAATAAAACAGAAATAGTAGAAGAATTAGCAAAGAAAATGTTAGGAGAACGGTTATATGTAAATATAGTTAGTAAAGGAGAAAATTTAGGGAATGGAGAATCAAGAAATGAAGGGGAAAATGAATGGAAAAAAGTAAATATATTAATATACCAAAATTTAATATTTTTATTAAAACCAGGAAGTGATACAGTGATAGCTATAATTTATATTAATAAACAATATAAATTAGTTTATGCAGAGAATCAAAGAAGAAGATATATGTTAAAAGTTGGACAATTTGTTTGTTAATATAAAAAATAATAAATAAGGAAAAAAAAAAGAAATAACAAATATAGGTATTATCAGCAGAATCAAAAGAAATAATGAATTTATGGAGTGAAAGTATTACAACAAGAAAAATGTGGTATCAAGATAAAATATTAAAAAAGAAAGTAGTAATGGCAAAAAGAAAAGTACCAATGTTAGGAGAAGTAGGAGAATTAGCAAGAATGTCAATGTCAATATTAACTACAGTTCAAATATCACCACACATTGAAAAAGAAGAAATAATTGGAGTAAGTTTACAAGAATTAAGTCAAAGAGAAGGATATCAACAAATGGCACCAATAGTATATCGATTATTAATAGAATATTTAACAGATAATTGTGTTGATATTGAAGGGATATTAAGATTATCAGGAGGAAGTGATGAAGTTCATAGATTAGAAAGACTTATAACAAGAAGAACATTTTCACTTCAAGATCTTAAAGATATTGATCCACATGCTATTACATCAACATTAAAAGGATTATTTAGAAGATTACCTATACCATTAATTCCAAGTAATATTAATTCAAAAATTGAAAATTTAATAAATCAAAATGTCCCTTATTTTAAATTAGTTATTAATATTAAAGAATTAATTACAACATTAAAAGAAGTATTACCAGAACATTTTGAAGTATTTAAATTATTATGTAAATTATTTACAGAAATTATTAATAGAAAACCAACAAATAAAATGGATTTAACAAATGTATTAACATGTTTTGTAGAATCAGTTAAATGTTCACCATCTATTTTTTCATGTGCATTACAAAATCAAGGAATATTTTTTGATAGTTTGTTAATTTTAATTAAAATATCAATAATATAAAAGAAAAAATATTTATAAAAAATAGTTTGGGAATAGATAAAAAATGAAATTAATTTAAAGCTCATATCACTACCAAATATTGTAAGTTACATTTATTTTGATTTATTATTATTATAAGAATTATTATTAAAATTTATATAACTTAATTTTATTTATTAAAATTAAAAATTTTAATAAATTCAAAAAAAAAGTGGTATGCAATTACAAAACTATTGCAAGTATAATCACAATAACGAGTGCTACTAAAAGAACTCCAACAATTAAAATACTCACTTTATCTGATGCTCTTAATCTAACTTTTTCAACTTTTTGTGTAGTCTTTTGAATATGTGCATCAACATTATTTACTTTACTTGAAATCTATTTCTTATTTAATTTTTATTTCTTTTATTTATTTAAATCTCAAAAACAAACTTCATCAAGAAGTGGTTCTTGTTCATTAATTTCTTGGTCAATGTTTTGTGCTATTTTCTTTTGAATTCCAACAGATGCTGCAATCATATCAATTTGTTCATCTTGTTCTACTTTTTTAATCTTCTTTCTTTTATTTTATTATTATTTTTACAAACTTGCTTGTAGATTTCTTAGTTCATCAGATTTCTCACTGTAATTAATTGGTTGGCTTGGTTCTGTATTATTAAAACTATTGTTTGAATAATTTGTTTGTCCAAAATCAGGATCCATTTTTAATGCTCTTTTCTAGTTTCTTCTTCTTTTTTAAGATATTTTCATTTTTTCATTTTTTTTTTTAATTCCAGTTGACAAATTTATTCGACATCCTTTCTTATTTTTTATTATTGTTATTTATTCCTTTTTTTTTTTCTTGTGTTTTTTATAATCATTATTTAATTACTTATTCTTTCTACTATTCTTATTGTATTATTATTATTATTATTCTTCATTGAGTCTGTCATTTGTTTCATTGGACATTATTTTTATAAGATTGTATTGGTTGTTTTTGATTATTTAATTGAAAATTGTAATGCACCATTTCTTGCTGTAATCATGTTGTCAATCTTCTTCAATCAAATGATATCGATAAAATAGAGTTTTATACAGAAATGAGGAAAGAAGTAACAGAAGTATGAAATGAAGTTCAAATTATTTGTGTTGTATATCTTATAACAAACGGTCAGTGGTTGTAATGAGATATGAAAGATTTAAATGAAGAGAAATTTAAATAAAAAGAAGAAGAGAAATAAAGGAGAAAAATAAAAAAAGAAAAGAACTAAAAAGAAATAAAATGCACAGAATCATTCAAGAAATCATCAATGTTATGATGGTTATTTTCTATATTATGGGGATACTTATTCACATAAATTGTTTATATCAAACAAAAGAATATGGAGGATGGTTATACTTTGTTGAAGGAGAATTTCGAATAAGATATAATATACCAATCACAATATGTTTAATATCAACAATAATTGAGTTTACTGTGATGAAAAAAGACGAATTTCAAAAATATAATAAAACAATAATAATTGGAATATTAATAATATTTAATGTGATTGGAATGATCATAGGATATTACTTTTATTGTTACAAAACAATTACAGTGACATTCACAGGACAATCATTATTCATATCAACTACATTTATAGTTATAGGGTTTGTTTATTAGTGATTTAAAGAAATAAAAAATACACAGAATCCTAATAAAATAGAAATTTAATGAAAGCATTAAAAGAAGGAGAGAAAGATGAAACATTTTAGTTAATCATCTTTATAACTTCTTGTCTTTTTTAACAATCAGATTAAATTAATTTTGGTTTTGATTATTTTTGAATAAGTCATAACACATCTTTTTTTCATACTTGTGACACACTAATTTATTTATTGTATTACCACATTTTCCTATCCTTTATTAGACAATATTTGCATTCAACTGTTTTTGTCACTCATAACATTTATTATTAATTGAATCAAATTATTTTAATTAAAATAATTAGTTAATGATTGTTCAATAATGTCATTTGTTATTACTCTCTCTTTTAGTAAATTATTCCACTTTCTCAATCTGGTTTTAGTCCAGTCTGTTATTATTTAAATCTTTTATTAATACTAAATTGGCTTTATGTTTAAGTCATACTAACTAATAACGCCTTCTTAATTCCTATGTTTAAGATAAAAACTAAATTTCCTATTTGTTGTTAACGTTGTACCTCATTGAGAATATCCTCTTTCTCTTCTCCGTTCAAGCTTCTTGTTCACATCCTTTTTTATCTTTTTTTGTTCTTAGTTTATTGTTATTTTATTACCCTGTATAATTTTTCACTTCCCAACACACAGGAATTTTAATAACACATATCCTGTTACACACTTAAATTTTATTCTCTTATAGGCTTCTTTGTTTTAGCTAGGCACGATGTTATTTTCTTTTTGAAGGTTGATTTATTACTATCTTAATCCATATTATTTGTTATTAAAACAACTACTAACAGTAGATACCCTCTTTCTTTATCTGAAAATTTCTTAATAATAGTATTTATCCCGTTTTCTTCTTTTGTCATTACTCTCTGCTTTGAGTCTAACCGCTAAAAAAATTTATTAGTTCATTTTTCGTTTTGAGTTATTAATTACTAGGTT